CTCTCGCGCTCAAGGGTTAAGCAACATAAAAATGAAAAGTCCGCAAATAGCTTATTTTATTTAATAAATCGACAAACGCCTAATTTAGGAGGCCTGCTTTATACAGTCGTGTTTCGCTGCAGTCGCGCTTTACTGATGTCACAGATTTGGGGCTTTTGACGAACCTGACCAAACCTAAGGAACTAGACCGTATTTGGGCAGGCCCTATCGAGCTCTTCATTCTAGTTCAGACAGAACGTAATTCTCACAAAAAAAAATGAACAGCTGAAATCTCCAAATATTAGGCTTCGATCAATTAGTCAGGGTACGATTAATTAGCGTGAAGGGTGTATATGTGATTAGAGTCATTAAATGTATAAACAGCGTGTTAGCAAATATTCTCAGTTCTTGTACAGTAATGTAAAGCATTATTGGACGATCTGACCATTCAATTTAGGGACAGGTGTCTCCTCAAAATTACGTAAAGGCAACAATTTTTCGAATGCATTACTGAAAAACAGCAAACGCATAACTGAGAGCATATGTGAGCTATACGAGGTTTTGAAATCAATTGTAGAGGACTTCCAAGCACAGGTATACAATAAGCGCAAGTTTGCAGCGCAAGTTTAATCCAAATCTGTATCCGATTTGCACGGCTGTCTGCGCTGTTCAGTCAAATCTCTGCGCATGGAAACGGGAAACGTCGAGTAGACCGCGCACAAGCAGATGCCGAAGGTGTAATTTTGCTCTAAAGTTGGAACGGAAGCAACAAAACGCTATAATTGAAGGTTGGACTTTAAATTCATTAAAGTATACCATTCGTATCAGAGAGAGAGAGAGAGAGAGAGAGAGAGAGAGAGAGAGAGAGAGAGAGAGAGAGAGAGAGAGAGAGAGAGAGAGAGAGAGAGATGGATGGATGGATCTTTGCGCCAGAAACCCGTTGGACTCCAAACTGGAGCGGTGAGTTGGTAGCTTCCGAGCAGTGGGTCATAAACCGTGGAGATTACGAAGCGACAATCTGTAGCAGGCGTCAGAAACACCACCAGATTTCCACCCATTGTCCTCTAGCCACTGGGCTGTAGACGCATTTGGGTGAACACCCCCAGCTCCGGCTCTAACAGCAAATAAAAAAAACGAGGTGGAAACCCACGGTTCACTACACTCTCTTACGTTGTTCACGCGCCGAATGAGCTGGAAATTAAGTGGCGAAATAGGTCAAAGCGCGATGTTTTCGAGAAATTGGCTTCCAGATAAAAATCCGAATCTTGCCGCTTCCAATAATTTTGCTATTGTGGTGATCCTGCGGTGAGTGCGAGTAGACCAAGCTTTGAGGTAGCCTTGTTTTGATCTTTGAGTGTAAATGGTTGCTTCGCAGGCTTCAATGGCTCTCGGTAAGATAGAATCTACTGGCCAAACTGACAGCAAAAAGGAAATGATAAACGAAATCCATAAAACATTCTATCTGCTAGTTCTTCGTTGGTCCTTCCTCTTGGAGATCTGACGATCTGCGTTTTGGCTGCCTTCTGGGTTAATTTATACTGTTCTAATTCGGGGAGATTACCAATTGCACAAACGAATCCATAGAAGTGACAGAGTAGTCACTATTCTTCAATAGCTCATGAAATGTCCTCGGCGATTGCACTGTTGATGTTAAGACCACTTGAGTCCAAGCAGCTTAGACTTCGAAACGCCCACAAAGAGAAATGCGTGGCTAGCAATCCTGGAGAGTTCGTGACCAATACCGATAGCCCTTAACTACCAGAAAGGACAAGCCGACGCCAAATTATGCTTTAAACATGCTACTTTTGCTCAACGTTCAGCTACGGCTAAAGGGTGAGCGAGATAACATCGAGCTAGTTGCAGTACCGTGGAATGAATCCGTTGAGGGCTGTCCATACCTAAAGGTGTTCCCAGCAGTAAAAAGTATCCTGGGAGAACGATAGAAGCGCTGTATGGACAGACTCACACATTAATTCGTTCCATAAAAGTTGCCTGTAGCAAGCAACTTTCAGATTACGTCACGACACACAGCATATACATAACTTAGTGGCAC